CCATTACCTGATTCACTATGACGAAAATGGTAATATAATGAAATGTAGAAGCTTGCCAAAGTATCGCGGATACCGTTAGGTATAACAATATTTCCGTAAATTGTAATGGATTCGATATGTAATTGAATAATTCACCAACTGGTATCTTGTGTTCTTTGCTTATGACGACGCCATGCTGATTCTTACGCAATCCCGCAAGAACAAAATTCGTTCTAAGTTGCATATATGTTGACCATAAAAATATAAATGCACATATCAATTGCATATTTGTTAATTTATACAAGAAAATACTCGTACGTGAACCTGTGCAAGATTATATGAATTGTATAATAGAGTACATGTAATATAATTAATATTTGTAAATTTTGAACACTTGCCTTCGACAAATCCTTCTGATTCTCCTATCAGGGATAACATTAACGTTGAGTAATGCAAAAATGTAAGTATATAATGAAACACATTTATTTTTTGGTTACTAAATACGCAAACATAATATGTTTCATATGCTCTTTTCCAGCAATGTATGGAAAACAAAACAATTGCTAAAATTGTGCTTTCCGCAGATACTAAAATATATTATACAGTACACATATAATAATTTAATATAGTTTTATATATATATAATTATGCAGGAACCATTTATAATGTTAATGACAAATATCTCATAAAATATGCATCTTGTGGAAAAAATGGTTTAGACAAAACTTGTTTGAAATTAAAGGGGACGTACACAAGATATGGCGCCGCATTATTTGTTTCATCATAAGTAGTGCTACTGTTTGGCGCACGGCCCTTTTGTACGTAGATATATAAGTAAGATTATAAATAGATTTGTGATTCATTAGCATTATTCCCAGCTAGCAAGCATACGTCAAAATGACGTTAAAATTTGGTCATAAATGACTAAAAATGACATGAAAATGACGGAAAAATAATGGGTAGCCTAATAAACAAGTTCTAGCTGTCAGCTTTAAAGTACAGCTAAGTGTTATTGAGATATTGAAAGGTTCCATATTATCAGTAGGGTTCCATATTACCATCTTCTTCTCTATTAGACAAATAAAAAAAATGTTTCAGACAAAAGTTGTTTAAATTAATTAACAGAAAAAAATGGTATAATAAAAAATGAGGGTTTCCATTAAAGAAAATAAAGTTGACTTTTGTTTGACCTATAGTAGTTTGACCATCTATGACGAAACGAATAGTTCCATCTTGTGTTCTCTTTGATTTCAAACAAGTTTTGTCTAACAGTCTAACTCATTTTTTCATAGGATGTATATTTTATGAGATATTTGTCATTAACATTATAAATAATTCATCCTGCATATATACGTGTATATATATCATAGTCAAAGCCCGAAACACGGCATTCCTAGGATTGACTGATGGTCAATTCTGCGGAATTTCCAAGCGTCTTGATTAAAGTAGTTTCTAGGAATAGGCTAGGAATTAGGTTAGTATTTTTATGCGGGGGAAAGGGATCCGCCTGCGACAGTATTTGTGTACTGTCTATACACACACATATCAGCAAATTACTACAAAACTTTGATCAAGACGCGTTTGGCCGTTCGACAGAATGGATTAATCCTAAGATTACCCGCGTTTTGAGTTTTGACCATAACATATATACCTATAATTTCTTATAAATTTAGTAATAATTTTTTTAGATAAATACCTAAGGGTTTTCTTGATGCCCCTAATAATATATCCAATAATAAAAGCAAACTTTCGGGAATATTTCCATTATAGAAATATTTATTTAAAGCCAAATAAAATAAAATAATCATTATTGTTCCAGTAATTGGATAAGCTTGTCCAAAATATCTAGAAATTTAAAATGATTAATATTAAACTATTTCAGTTATTGTCAGTAGATAGTAAGTAGAAAGTACTTTCTAATTTTTTTTTGTAAATTGTTTATTGTAAATGTTTATTGTAATTTTTTTTGTAGAAAGATATACATTAATTAGGTAAACTTACTTCTTGGGCATTTCGATTTTTGTTATTATGGGATAGTTAGCGTTAGCCTTTATGTTTATCTTTCCATAGACAACAAAGCGTATCAACGCATTAGGTAAATAAGGTTCCATATAAATAATTAATAACGATAACGATCCAATTGTGATTGAATTACAAATTAGAATATAACGTAATATGTTTACATCCATTATTTGATTTGTTGAAATTAGCTGAATACGCGAGTGTGATTGTCCTATACAAAATTTTAGTTTCTTTTAAAAAGGAATCTTTGTTAGTACCCATATTGTATTGTTGTTTCACCGTCACTGTTTTATATTTTTAAAAACAATTTAGATCACCATCACAATGTAACATTTTATTTAAAAAATCTAAAAAAATATATTTCTTCAATAAGTAAGATTATAATTTAAAATTGTATAAAATTATAGAAAATGTATTGTCTATAAAGAATTATATATGTTTCTTATAATATCGAACATGTAAAGTAATATATTTGTACATAAAAAATTGTTTAAAAAGTTACAAAACTTTGTGATTACTGTTAGTCTCTTAACGATATTATCAACGATATATATATATATATATATATATATATATATATATATATAACTTACACTCCTTATATGCATATAACTTATATGCCCTACGTACGTATGTAAGTTTATATATCAACGTTTTTAACTAACTAACTTCGGCGCTCTTCAAGGCACAACTGAGTTAAAATAAGGAAAGAACATCACTATATATACGGTTTAAACATTGCGCAAAAAAAAAAACAAGAAACGACAGGATTTAAATTTATAATTATCGGGAAAAAAGTATTCAATTATGATTTACTGATTTTTTCGATGCGACGCGACCAGGACGCGAAGTGGCCCAAGGCTACATCTGCCGATATACCCGATTCGGCCGAGAAAGCTAGGCACTCGACGTTCAACGCCTTCAGTTATTATATGTAATAAAACTCAATAACAAAAACATTGAAAAATTTATCAACAGAAACATTTCAAGTCAACATTTCAAGTTGCTCGACCGCAGCGAGCAATATAATGGACAGTGACTATAATCAGTGTCCGTACCGAAAAGATTATACATATGATAATCGATGATCAAATAATTGAATACAAAGATTAAGACTGGATTCCTATATTTACTGTCAGCAACTGTCAGTACTGTAATCAAATCTATATAATATACGTGACGCAAAATATAGAAAAATATAGATTTTCAGTACTGACAGTGAAATATCGGAATGCAGAATGATTCTTTATGATCGACTATCAAGAGATACAGTCGTGTCTGGCGCCAAGTTCACACACAGTGAGGCCGACTGTCTTTACGCGAAACTGGCTACGTTCCGAAATTCACTGTTAATACTGAAAATCTATAGTGTACGTTACATAAACTACATAGATTTTCAGTACTTGCAGTGAATATAGGAACGCAGCTAATATAGAGTTAAGAGAGAGGGTCCCGTTTGCCTACAATCCCAATTGTCAATAGCTTCGTTTGCTGACATTCCCGATTGCTTACAAGCATTATTGCGCACATGTAATAATTAAAAATACGAACGTGCGTTTGCGCATGATCTTATTACGCACACATGCAGATTGCATACATGACATTATTGTGCACATCTGCAGATATCGAAATTATTAAGTAAGTCATAGTCGTCGTCGTCGTCGTCTACGTTCTTTCTTTTTTTTGTAATATGTGGCAATTGAGAACTATATAACTGCTGAGATTATTTCTATGCTTCTTGTCACATATGAATATTTCTCAGACAGGCGATTTGTAACTTTTCTGTGAGAGCATTATTTACGTTTCTTTTACAAATGAATTCAAGAATCGAATCTAACTTTACAGCTTAAATTAATAAATGTGATGCTGTGTCAGCATTTATAATCGGACTTAATTTCTTTTTCTGTTCATCACCAACAAGTTATGAGCCAAGAAAAATTGGACGTAAATTAAATCGTGAGTGCGTAAAAAGAAATCCGTGATAAATCACTGAGCAACACGTGGCGAGCTGCCATTAACGCGCGCACGCGCGCGCACGTGTGTGTGTGTGTGTGTGTGTGTGTGTTTTATGAAAAATGTATACTTATTTAACATCTTATAGTCAAAGTAAATATTTTAAGCCCGGTTGCACCAACGTCGCATAACATTTAACTTTAGCTTAACTCACTCTTCGTCTCTTTCTAACTGTTTTCTTGAGTGAGTAAAGCTAAGGAAACTGTTGTTAAGAAGTTACAGAATCCCGTCTTTGGTGACAATTCATCAGAAAAACAATAATTTGTCTTTTAGTGCAGTATGTGTAATTCTTTGGAATATATAGATGCTTAGTTTTTAAATTCATTAGTTCGACAAATTG